CTTTGGTCACCATGATGTAAAAAAGATGTTGAGACTCTAGAAAGAGTACAGAGAAGAGCAACAAAGATGATTAGGAGACTGGAGGCTAAAGCTTATAAGGAACAGTTGCTGGAATTGGATATGTCTAGTTTAATGAAGAGAAGGATGAGGGGGGACATGATAGCAGTGTTCCAATATCTCCAGGGTTGCCACAAAGAAGAGGGAGTCAAGCTATTCTCCAAAGCACCTGAAGGCAGAACAAAAAGCAATGGATGGAAACTAATCGAGAGAAGCAACCTAGAACTAAGGAGAAATTTCCTGACAGTTAGAACAATCTGCCTCCAGAAGTTGTGAATGCTCCAACACTGAAAGTTTTTAAGAAGAGACTGGACAACCATTTGTCTGAAATGGTGATAAGGTTTCCTGGCTGAGCATGGGGTTGGATTAGGAGACCTCCAATCTGCCTATTATTGTTATTATCATTATTGTTGTTGTTGTTGCTGTTAGCAATAGTTTTCTCAAGCGATTCTTAAACAACTGGTAGATAGATGCAGAAAATTTACATCAAATTTATATAATAAGTGCTTACACAATAGTGCTTTTGGTATTACACTAAGTTGTGACGGCAAACCTATGAAATGCATGTGAAAGGTTGACACACCACCAATTACCCACACTGAACAAGAACTATTCTTCTTGTTTGAGTCACCAAAGAACAACAATATAAGAAAAATTTGGCCCTCTACTATTCAAAACTTAACATGGATTCTCACCATCCATTTTAGCACATGATCTGTCATCTTAAAAATTGTGATTGGGGGGGACATGAAGGAGACAGCAATTTGCAAAATATGGCAACTGCCCATTTCTTCCATCCACTACATGGGGTGTTTAAATGTAGATAAATCTCCCTCTTTTATGGGCGTGTGTATGGGACATCCATCAGGGTCCAGTTAGGCATTTTCTGAATTTTGACACGCCAAGCCCAAAAGGTTCGCCATCAGTGTACGAAGCCTTCCAAATGACCTGGGAGGCTTTGCAGGCTTCAAAAAGGATTTGGAAGAAACTGCCACATAAAAAGCTTTGGATGTTGTATAACAACAGAACCTCTCTGCTATTCCTTAAAATAGCACAACAGGAAATAAAAAAGATGTTATTATTTTAAGAAGTAAATTCAATAAAGTCAGCCTGACTCATAAAGCACTGAATCCTACTTTGTGGGATTCAGGAAGAAGTGTGAAAAAAGTCAAGCCACTTCAGGGATGAGCAAGGAGGGGTACACCTTTTGTGGATCATATTTGAAGTGTGCAGAGAACAGGTTCTGTGATCTAACTCTTATCCATGTGGATCCATCTATATCAGGGATAAGCAACCTTGGCTCTTTTATGGCTCATGGACTTCAACTCCCAGAATTCCAGAATTCTGGGAGTTGAAGTCCACAAGTCATAAAAGAGCCAAGGTTGCCTACCCCTGATGTATACTGATCCTCCTCATGTTTACAGCCATCCTTCCCTCCTCAGTATTATTTTTAGTTAACAGCAGGATAAATGTTTCAAACAAATATGCAAATACAAAATTAAATAATTCTTGTTTGGTGCTCCAAAGTACATAAAACAGGGCGGTAAGAAAAGATCTTGTCCTTGACATTATGATCTTTGGTGATCTGCCCAATTAGATAAATCCACTGAAGTGGCAATTGACCCCTTGCCAGAATCTGTTGAGGTTTTACTCCAATTGTTTAATAATCCATTGCAGAATTATTGCTGTCCAGATAAATACTACACTCAGCTCAAGTTCCAGTAAACACATAAAGGTAAAACTGAGATCACAAGGCTACATGCAACTCATAAGCACCTCTGAAAGTTTATCACTATATCTATAATTTAATATTAAAATTGTGTTTATGAATGCAGCAGAAGAGACTTATTATTAATTGCTATACATGGGGAACAATTAAGTTTATTAAATATAATCAATTCAAATATTTTATTATTGAGTAATTAGAAAATTTTATAGCAAGGAATAAAATTATAAAATGCAAAAAGAAAGAAAAGGAAGGAAAGAAAAGAAAAAGAAAGGAGAAAGAAAAAAAGATTCCATGAAAAATTACAAATAAAAAAGACAAGCAAGCAAAGAAATAAAATAAAAAAGGGGAAACTACAGATATGTGTATCACATTAATCAAATGTCAAGCAGATTTCTATATCTGTCTTAGGAAAACATTACTATATTATAAAGTATAATAAAATCTAGTCAAATATGAATTACATTAAATCAGCTTTATTTTTATACTTGCCACTCTCACTTTATGGATTGTGAATGCACTTTGTGTCTCAGAAGAAAAGAAAAATACCCAACAACAACCCCCACCTTATCCTGTCTAGCTTTGAAAGCCAAGTGTAGCCAGTAATTAAACTTTATAATTCACCACCATTAGATGTGGGGCTGAGTATCATCTTTGCTGCCTTCAAAAGGGGGTTGGGCCAATTCATAATGGAGATGAATGGACTTTTAACCTTCATGGCAGTGTGCTTCCTTACTGAGATCATCTGCTTGGAAACCAGAAGCCTTCCTTGTGCAATTGGGTGGCCACTGAGAGATTAGAATGCTAGAGAAAATGGGCCAGTAAGACATTGTGTTCTTATATTCTGATCCACTTAGAAGGTGAATGGGAGATAATCAAGAGTAACAAGGGCCACAGATAAGGCTAGGAAGTTAAAAAAAATTCCTGGGAATGGAATGGCAAACTATTTTAATGCTTATATTTTTAAAAATAAGATAGAAGAGATTACATATAAAACTGGTATACTTGAATATATTCATATATAAGCATTCCTGGAGGACAGTTTGCCCAGCCATGTCAGTGTACCTCCACACCTATAGAGGGTACATTGTAACATTCCATCATCATCATCATCATCATCATCATCATTATCGATCATCGCACAGTCAGCCAGATGTTCAGACTGGATTTGGCATTTTGTCTACCTATCGAGTCCTTACCCAGGACCTGGGATAGGCAGATGTGGATGTTTGATGGTATTACAGATATCGTCGCAAGATGGAAGCAGTTCCTAGTAAGGCCGCCTTTTGCAATTGACTAATAGCGAATTTGTCAATGCCAATGGTGTTCAAGTGGTGCTCCAGTTGTTTTGGGATTGCACCCAAGGAGCCTATGACTATTGGTACTACCCTTGCTTGCTTTTGCCACAGTCTTTCTATTTCTATTTGTAGGTCTTTGTATTTTGTTATCTTCTCCAGTTCTTTCTCTTCTATTCTGCTGTCTCCAGGCACTGCCACGTCCACTATCCAGACTTTTTTGTCTTTCTTATCGACAATTGTTAAGTCTGGGGTGTTATGTTGCAGGTGCTTGTCTGTTTGAATTCTGAAGTCCCAGAGCAGTTTAATTTTATCATTTTCTATGACTTTCTCTATTTTATTATTATTATTATTATTATTATTATTATTATTATTATTATTATTATTATGGATCATCGCACTGTCAGCAAGATGTTCAGACTGGATTTGGCATTTTGTCTACCTATCGAGTCCTTACCCAGGACCTGGGATAGGCAGATGTGGATGTTTGATGGTATTATTATTGTTGTTGTTGTTGTTGTTGTTATTATTATTATTATTACACAGTCAGCCAGATGTTTAGACTGGATTTGGCATTTTTCTATACCTATCGAGTCCTTACCAAGGACCTGGGATAGGCAGATATCGATGTTTGATGGTATTACAGATATCGTTGCAGGATGGAAGTAGTTCCTAGTAAGGCCGCCTTTTGCAATTGACTAATGGCGAATTTGTCAATGCCAATGGTGATCAAGTGGTGCTCCAGTTGTTTTGGGATTGCACCCAAGGCCCCTATTACTATTGGTACTACCCTTGCTTGCCTTTGCCACAGTCTTTCTATTTCTATTTGTAGGTCTTTGGAAACAACAACAACAACAACTATTATTATTATTATTATTATTATTATTATTATTATTATTATTATTATTATTATTATTGCTATTGTTTCCAATCATAGAAATCTTAGGAAATGGTTGGGAGAAATTAAATAACCCTTCACCACTACTGAATTAAAGAGTTGGCAGATTCTGGAATGAAATTGGTTATCCATTTTCCCAATCCCTATCCTGTTTCCATTGTTTCTGTTGCCAACTACTATCAGCTGACTTTGTTACCCTCCAAGTTAATGGATGAACACAAATTGATTTTACAGAATGAGGCTCTCATTGGGTCATGCTGAAATAAGGAAAATATAGGTTAATGTCAGTGTTATTAAGGGAGGTCTGTGTAACTCACATTCTGCACGAGATGAATGTAATATCCTGAAGATGAAAAAAAAATTGTGCCTGGGCATGACAATGGCATGGTTAGGTCAATAGACAAGTGTACTCTAAATAGGATGAGGAAAAAAAATAAATAGGGCTTTGGACAATTTCCAGTAGTTCTGCAAGCAATGTTATTCTGAATTGTTTGCCATTATTTGTCATACTGCCTTTTTGCAAAAATAACAAAAGTTTCATAAAATTAATTTTACAATAAATGACTTCACAAAAACAAAACAAAAAAGTATAAAACTACGATTAAAAAGCCAATAAAATAATGAATGCAGTTTGAAATGCTCAATTCCTCCAGTCCACCAAAAGGAAAGTGTGTGTGTGTGTGTATGTACGATACGTTCTGAAACTGGATTTGTATATTGTTTGTATCTGTGTTTACATGCAGTGGACCTCACAACATGTCCATCTTTACATCAGATAATGCACAGTAAAAACTCTTTCATTGCAAAGAAGCAAATTATAGTTCTAAGAATAAACAGTAGTAAAATATGACATAAAACATTTCACATATAGGAGCAATTATTCCCACTGACTTTCAGAAAATGCTTTGGATCAACTTTTCTAGAATTTAATTAATATCACATTAATTAATGACTTCATTAGAGGTAATAAAACAAGTTAAGGCAATAGAAACTTTTCAATAGCTTTTAAGTAAAAGGAGCTCACCAATTACGCTCAATTCTGCACTGACATAGATGATTCCATATCTATTTTCTGCTACACACTGATACATCCCAGTGTCGGAGAGATTCACACTGGGAATGGTAAGTGTTCCATGTTCTATTTGAAGTCTTTCCTGCAAAATAGTTAATAACATAAACAAAAAAACTTTCCTTCAGAATTTATATATTCCTGCAATGATATTACTTTAATTGTCAAACAGGTGGGTAGTGTCAATATTAAGGTTAAAAAAAGTCATATATAATTAGTCATACACAATTAGAATCTTTGCCAACAAAATTCATATCATGTTAAAGGCAAAAGGCATTAGTGAATTGTGATTAATTCCAAAGTTTTTTCTTGTTCTCAGTGATTGGACATCTGAACAATTTTGATTAATTAATTAATAATTAATAATTCTTTGAAGCCCAAAGATTCAATTCTTTGAATCTAAAATTTCTGCTGTCCTATGGCATGTTATGGCCTAACTCAGCCTGACATGTTCTTCAGAAATTCAGCTTTCTGTTCCCTTGAAGGTTAATAGAAAAGTAATCATATTCAGTGGTGCAAACTGCAAAGCAATTGTATGCACCCCACCAGATTAAAATTGTTATACCCGAAAGATATAAATCATAACCTTTTAATAATCCTTATTTTACTTTAATGTGATTTAAATTCAGAACCATCTGCAAGTGATCAGCATGAAGAAAGTCACATTAGCACATGACACAAAAGAATGGACAATCAGGGTTCAGTCTAAGGATAAAAGAACTCACAATACCAATAACAACAATAACAAAAGTAGCAGAGTGCTTCTCTACACAATAGGAATGTGTGTGTGTGTATTTTAGCAAATCTTAACATGGAACAAATATAATCTTGAAAAGATGTTGGGCTCTTCTCAATGGTGGAGTTGAAATTTAACATTGCACAGTCTTTATTTGATTGAATCTAGGCAACAACAGTTTCAGAAAGTGCAAGTGAGAGCGATTTGTGATTTGCTTATTTTTTGCCTTTAAAGTTGAGACAATCAAGGGCTGGAATGATCTCCTTTCGTGAGATTAGGAATAGAGGGGTGCTGATGAGATCTTTTCCTTTCTTTCTATAGCTCATTAATCTTTAGGTAGTTCTGTGTGACACTGCTAATGGTAGGTCATTCCCTCAATTTGGCCATGTCAGCAGAAGTCCCTAGAAGTGAAAGGGATACAGACGAGAGAGCTTGTTTACATTCCACAAAGTTCAATTAAAACTTATACACTAAAAAAACAAAACAGAAAAAAGGAGGTTTATAGCCTGAATAGCTATATTCCCAGTTTTGCTTTTCAAGTTGGCACTTAACAGAGGTTTTGTTACAGGTGATATTTTGTTTGCCTGTGGTGTTGCAGGAGCTGAAAAATTGTACAGCCATTTTATGTATCTTTCTTCTCCTCAAAGCAAATATGCCCTGCAAAGGAATCCCACAGCTTCTCAGTTCCAATTGATTGCATGAAATGTTTGTCAATGGCACTTAAATGCCTACCATTCAATGAGCATTGGTTGAAAACTAGGCGCTCAAGGGCGATTTTTGCTTTTTGAAAAGTATGACTTGAATTACATTGTTTTAATGATATGGAAAGCTCAAGGTGATCTTGTGACATTCACTCAGCACGACAAGAAGTCTGCGGTGGGACAGATGAAACCTTTAAGACTACATAGTTTCTGCTGTTTTTCTTTTTCAGTAGCAGTGCTGAAAACAAATCCTTGCAAGTTAATCCCCAATGTCAGAGCATCAACATTGGAAGATTGTTTGTACCTGAGGGAGAAGAAGTTCACCATCCTTCAGCCAGCTATAAGAAGGCTTTGGTCTGCCATTTGCCTTACATTCCCAGTAGATACTTTCTTCTATAGCCACCTGAACATCACTTATTTTCAGAATCCAGTTGGGAGGAGCTGAAAGGAATATAGGGATATTTATCTGAGTAACATTTATTTACTCACTGCCATGATCGTACAAATCGTACAAATAAATCTATTCCAATGCTTTCCTTTAAAAAAAAATAGAAACGTGGGCTTAAGATCAGATTGCTGTTTCCGTGTGTGTGTGTGTGTGTGTGTGTGTGTGTGTGTGTGTGTTAATAGTAGTAGTAGTAGTAATAATAATAATAATAATAACGACTTTGGTCACTTCTATACATCAAAGATGTTCAGCGTGAGGACTGCATTGATTTAGTGGAATTGGGTAACCTGGGTATATCAGCGTTAATACCTGGTACCTGGTAACTGGCTGGACAAGTCTCTGCAGTTTTACTGGCAAGATTTTAAAACTGGTTTGCCATTGGCCTCTTCTTAGGGCTAAGAGAGAATGACTGGCCCAGGATCATCCTTTGTGCCCAAGGTTGGACTAGAACTCACTCTCTCTTGTTTTGTAGCCTGGAGCCTTAATCACTGTCCCAAACTAGCTTTCATGGGTATACCTATATGGGTATACCTATAATAACCTATAATGATATTTCTAATAATGCAATAAAGTAGAATCCCTGAAATACTTAAGCAAAAAAACCAAATCAGGTAAATTAATAAACACTTGTCTTGCTTTATTAATGTTATCTATATATGTCAATTATTTCTATAGATAATTTGTTTTTTTTGTTATGCATATGATTTGCAAGATAGAGAATGCATAAAAGTATGAAATATTTCACTATCTGAGGGGGAATAAAGCTCTCCCTGAAATCTATCTTGCACCTTATCATATACATGGATCAAATCCTGTAGAATATGAAGACTGATTTGTGAGGCTACAAAATATTTAGGTTGTAAATAATAATAATAATAATAATAATAATAATAATAATAATAATAATAATAAAGTTGGAAGGGACCTTGGAGGTCATCTAGTCCAACCCCCTGTTCAGGCAGGAAACCCTACACCATTTCGGACAAATGGCTGTCTAGTCTCTTCTTAAAAACTTCCAGTGTTGGAGCATTTATTGCTTCTGGAGGCAGGTTGTTCCACTGATTAATTGTTCTCACTGTCAGGAAGTTTCTCCTTAGTTCTAGGTTGCTTCTCTCCTTGATTAGTTTCCACCCGTTGCTTCTTGTCCTGCCTTCAGGTGCTTTGGAAAATAGCTTAATTCCCTCTTCTTTATGGCAGCCCATGAGATATTGGAATACTGCTATCATGTCCCCCCTTGTCCTTCTCTTCGTTAAACTAGACATACCAAATTCTAGCAACTGTTCCTTATATGTTTTAGCCTCCAGTCCCCTAATCATCTTTGTTGCTCTTCTCTGTACTCTTTCTAGAGTCTCAACATCTTTTTTACATCGTGGTGACCAAAACTGGATGCAGTATTCCAAGTGTGGCCGTACCAAGGCATTGAAGAGTGGTATTAATACTTCACGTGATCTTGATTCTATCCCTCTGTTAATGCAGCCTAGCACTGTGTTGGCCTTTTTGGCAGCTGCAGCACACTGCTGGCTCATATTTAGGTGATTGTCTACTAGGACTCCGAGGTCCCTCTCACAGTTACTACTGATGAGCATGTTGCCACCTATGCTGTACTTGTGCATTTGGTTTTTCTTGCCTAAATGTAGAACCTTGCTTTTTTCACAATTGAATTTCATTTTGTTAGATAGTGCCCAGTGTTCAAGTCTCTCCAGATCCTTCTGTATCTTAAGCCTGTCTTCTGGAGTGTTGGCTATTCCTGCCAGCTTGGTGTCGTCTGCAAATTTGATGAGTTCCCCATCTATCCCTTCATCCAAATCGTTGATGAAGATGTTGAAGAGCACTGGGCCAAGAACCGAGCCCTGGGGCACCCCACTACACACTTCCCTCCATATAGATGCAGTTCCATTGAGGACCACTCGCTGAGTACGGCCGGTCAGCCAGCTACGGATCCATCTGGTGGTGATTCTGTCTACCCACATTTTTCTATCTTATCAAGTAGTAGGTTGTGATCTACTTTATCAAATGCCTTACTGAAGTCCAAGTAAATTATATCCACAGCATTCCTCTGGTCCACTAATTTTGTCACTTGGTCAAAGAATGTAATAAGATTTGTCTGGCATGATCTATTTTTGACAAACCTATGTTAGCTTTTAGTAATGACTTTGTTTGCCTCTAGGTGTTCGTTGATTTGTTATAATAGAGTGTGTGTATTTTGGTGACTTTCAGTTCTTTCAATCATCATAATTGTAATTTGTATAGGCAAACATAAACAATGGAAGAGTAGTATCAATGTGGAAAAAATAGAAAAAGCTAATTTGACATTAGAAGAAAACAGCAGTTTAAATGGACTGGAGGGATAAACAATTAAACTGGATTGTGCAGATCCAAAAGTAGTGATAAGAAATGTGAAAAATATAGCAATCATGGAGTCAAAGTAGATCTTAAAAAAAAATCAGAAAATACTCCAGAACCTGAATTTTTTCCCCTGTGAATTTACATGGCTACTCTTGTGGACCATGTTACAACTGCAATATCTAACTATTTGCAGTTAAATAATATCATAAAATAACTTTCAGAAAGATATATCTAAAAATTACTGTCAGTACCTTGATTTCAAGTAACAAACACAAATCCCAATGAATAATATGGGGGTATTTTAAAACTGCTAGACAATTAAATATTCTATGGAATGGGAAATAATTAAGCTCTATATAAATATTTGTAATCCATAACAAAAATACAAGAACATATATAATACCAGCAGAGGTCTCCAGGAAACTGGATATTTTATATTATTCCATCTGTATTTAGCCAGATAAAAGAATGTCAAATTTGTCAACTTAAATTTTATCAACATGAAGCTATAATTTTAAACCCATCTCTGTTTTCAACATTTGTTGAAATTGTTGAATAACAATAATTCTCAAAACAACAAAAATATATTTTAATAGTTCTGTTTGTGGTTACTCTTAACAATACTCAAAACACTTTTTAGCACAAGCTAGACAGCTACCAGCAGCAAGAAAAATATATCAAGAAGAAAAGTTTAAGATCTTTTGTTTGAAATATAAAATATACTAAAAAAAATATACTAATTTGATCATTATAATTTTGTATTATCATCTTAATTTTGGACTGAATTGTTATTTTGTATCTACGGATTGACTCTGTCTCACATAATTCAATTTACTTTTTTCTCTTTCTTGGAATTGGCTAGTACTATAGCAATTCTGCTTAAAAATACTTGGGTTTGCTCCTTTCTTCTTGTTTACTTGGCTCAATTAAGCCAGGTATTTATTTATTCCATTTTTTTAACCTTCTGCAGTCAAGAAAAGCCAAGGGCCATTGGTCTCTCTTGTCTGTTAAAAATAAACAAGATCTACTAATAATATTTCAACGTTAGCCTGCAAGGAGGAAGAAGAGCAATGCTAAAGAATAAAATAAGACTTTATATCTTATTGCTGACTGACCACTAATATGTATTGTATGATTTATGTGGTGACCTTAATCATGCCTTGACTTTAATCAATATTTTTGTGTCTTAATTACAAGTATATGAAATTTGGGCAAAGTTAATTGATCAACCTAAAAGTAGACCTGTAATTTTTAGGGAAGGGGTTTTTTACTATGGCAATTTGAAATTATACTACTATCTCTTTAGTTTCAGATCTGCCACTAAATTAAATATTTAAAAAACCCTTCTGTTCATGGTACTTGATTGCTTCACACTGCATCAATTTATATACATTGTGTTCCCAGAAAATTTCACCATAGCAGTCACACTTTATAATGTTCAATATTCTCATTATGCACACATTCACACCAAAGGAATTTAGAATGAGCTACTTTCACTTTTCTGAAACTCTGGCAAGAGATGCAATCAGTTCCTCCCCCCCCCCAATGCGTACAATTATAGCCATTCAAACAACCCTGATACAGTTTCAAAAGTTCAGGATCAGGTCTTCCAGAATTAGCTCAAATCGTTTCCATAGGTCTCATAAGAGTTCCCACTGTAGTTCTAGATGAGATACAAATCTTTATCACCCAACTTTAAGTTTAGGGAGACTAAAACTAGAGTTTGGGTTACTGTAATTTATTTATAACTATAGTATAGAAGATGAAATTTGGTCTGCATGAAAGAATTGTGTTATTCACTTCAACCAGAAAATGATACTAAAGTGAAGTAAAGTAAAACTTTAGAATATGACAGTAACTCATTTATATTCTAGGGATAGTTCAGATTTCATAATATCTTTAAGTCTGATGACACCGGAGAAGAAAAACAATCTTTGTGGCACCTTTGTGAGTAGCAGTGTTAGGTCTAAAATTAATCTAGAGCTGGAGACATAGAATTGGTGCCCTAGCCATATGGCTGAAAATGAGCAATTTTATGGAACAATTTCCATGGAGAAAGAAATCATGAAGGCATTCAAAGCTAAAAAATAAATGCTGTAATGATGGATGCCTTTGATCAATGTCATGCAGTCTCAATAAATGAAAAGAGATGGTATTCCTAGATATTCTCAATGATGGTAACTAAAAGACTGGCTGTGAAACTAATGAGAAAAATGAACCTGGAGAGGTTCATTGCCAGTGTGCTAAACTTGTCAGCATTGCTATTCCAACTGGGACAAAATTATTTATTGGTCCAAACTGACCATGCATTAAATGTTATTCTTTCAGGTCTATTTTAACTTGACACCCCACCCCCACCCCTTTTTGGCAAGATTTTGCATTTTGCAAAATGGTAGTTCCTTTTGGGCATTTATAAACATTGAAATTAAGACTTCTGAATTAAGAATAGGAGGGAAAGGAAGCTATAATGGTGGAGGTCTTTTTTTGCACCAGTTTGCCTGAATCTTTAATCTGATCAATACAAAACAGAATAAAACTGTTACTTTCTGTGACTTGGAAAGTATACATCTATTGATGCAGCCTAAAACAGCATCTACCTTTTTGCAATTGCAGTATTTCTAAATAACTCAAATTAAGGTTCAGATCAATTTCAATTTGAAGATTCTTCAAACTATTAACAAGCCAGATATTCCCCATCCTATACTTTTGAGTTCCCGCCATCACTTTGTGATTATTAGTCATTAATGAAATGTTGAAGAATATTGGATCCAGAAATGATCCTATAGTATCACTTTTAGTATCTCACTCTGATTTTATAAGGATTTGTTTCTGAGTACTCTTTGGTATGGTTTTCAAGCTAGCTATAAATGTTCCTAACATGTTTTCAAGCTACCTTTGGAAGTTATCAACCCATTATTTAAGTAGCTTGTTAATCTGACAGATATACATCCTGGTAAGTAAGTATTCCCTGATTATCATTCTATCAAGCTGAAGCTATAGTTCTGCTCCTAAAGCCTTTTGTTGCTTTTCAATGGGAGTTTCACTTGAAAACAAGTATGTATCAGATTTTTAAAAAAACAATCCAAGTCTTCTTTCTTTTTCTCTTACTCTAACCTGTGTTGTTCAGATACTTACCTGACTTGCTCTTTCTCCATAGTGGAAGGAGACACTTAGCTATAGACATGCTTTAAGCAACATGAGCTTTCCTACATATTATTTCCAAAATAAAGCATGACCATTTTTCACACAAGCATCAACCTCAAGAATCCTTTAAAAAAAAAAAATCCTGACTGGGTTTTTTTTTTCATTCATTATTTCTTCTGGATAAAGCTATTGGCTATCCAACTGTCTTGGCAACCTTTCTTTAAAATTAGAGATAAAAAAGGTATGCTAAATAGGCTAAATAAATATATAGTTCTTTCCTTTTGAAAAGATCATGGAATACCTTCTATTGTCATGTTTAGCTGGGAGGGATAAAACATGGCTGGCTTTAAGGCATAAAACAATTGCCTGTTCTTACCCTTATTTTCATAACACAAACATTCGTGTATTAGTGTCACAAGGATCTTATAACATCCTGGACTGCAGAAATGAGTTGCACCATAACTTCAGATAGATATAGAGCTCATTATTAGATTTTCACCATAACAAGTACTGGGTTAATAGAAATTGGTGTAAGGGGGCCATTTGGATTTTTACATGAAGAGGTGGTACCAATGAAAGATCACTCAGAAACAAAGACTTGATGAAAGCAATAAAAGAAACAAGCAGTCCTAATTTTGTTTAAAGGCAGAACTGCTAAGATTATTCAAAACAGCATGTTTTCTAACAGATGATGAAAAAAAAGAAACCCTGAATGAATTGCTTTACAATAGCAGTTTGTTTTTTTACTAGGCCAATCTCTGTCTCATGACATACGTTTTTACTTCTTCCACATTTCATAGCCTCAATCAATAAGCCTGTCTCAGAGGTTTTTATTTTATGTAAAATTACACTTGCTGAGTAGATCTATTTACAATACAAAATGTGAAGAGAAATATCAACACTGACATTGCAACAAAGCATTTACTGCATTTTGGCCTCAGCTATAATGAAAATCAGGTAAATAAATAAACTGGGTACCATAAAATGTAAGTTGGCCCCTGGCCACGTTCCTTCCTCTCACATTTTCAGCTAGGCATTCATACATGCCAGCATCTTCCTGCTGAAAGTTGGGAATTTCAAGAATGCTGCTTGATTTGTGTCTCCGAGCTTTTTTGGGGATTTGCTTTCCATCTGTTCTTCTCCAGCTGATTGTAGGAACTGGGCTATTTATGAACAATAAAAGGAAAAAAAATATGATGGTAAAGGCTATGTAATTTTAAATGACACATGTATTATTTATTAATAATTTCTAGACAAAACAATTCCATTATATGATCATCAAAACTTAGGTCAGCTCTTCCCAATGTCTAATTAAACTGAGTGGAAATTCTGGAAATACCAAAACATCTTGAAGGTGCCAAGTTAGGAAAAGCTGATCTACATCTTCAATTAGTCATATTTATACCTGGGCTGTTATTGGTTATACTTATTATCATGCAATGATGGTGACTTTTGTCACATATCTTAATGTGGGTTTTTGCCTATGATCATGTAGCTCAAAATATTTAGTGGAGAGCATACTGAGAAAGGCATGTCCAATGGGCATATCCTGTGGGCCTGTATGCTTCTGATATTTATGCTAGAGGATTCTGTCCATTTCATACACAATTCTGCATTGATTTTATTCTTTCTGGGAACATAAACCATTAATTAAATCTTTCTATAAGCACAGTTTTCCAATAAATAGAAATATGATATATTTAGACATAAAGATATCTGCTGTCTTTTTCAAACAGAAATATTTTCCCCCAAACCAATCCCTAATCCATCATTCGATTTATTTGAAACATGTAGCCTATAAAACATGGAACAGCTTCTCCAAAAATAAATTAATGGCAGACTATGGAATATAAATGCAGGCTTGCTAAGAGAAAAATTTGAAATATAGTAGTAAGTGTGGGATATGAGGGAACATATTTCAGCATTGGACAAACTGGTGATTAGGAGTAGGCCTAAATACCTGTAGAGATATGACATAAGTATCCTTTTCATTGAAAACAAATACCTGTAAGTTTTGCTCCTGTCATAAAATTGGCTATTTTGTATATATTTTGTATACACGTACACACACACTATCTAGAATTCTTATAACAATGGCATTAAGTCACCAATGATTAATTTAAATTGTAATAAAGACTTGATTTCACCTAAATTTTCAAATATAATTTAAATTTCATTTGTAGTATGTAGGACAATATTGTGGAATCAAACTAAACATTGTGTCTTTGACCAGATGATATATCTAGGAGCTCAGTGACAAACTACAAAAATATCAGTGTCCTCTGTTGTTATTCACAGCAGGTAATAGAGTACACTGAGTTTGACTTTTTTATTACAGGTCACAGATCCACCAAGCATATCCATGAAAGAGACACTCTGAATTAATTTATCGGAACAGGTCACAGTATACCAGGTCTGTATTGTAGACAAATACAACAGCATTATGGTTCCCTTATAATAAATCACTTTCATGCTAAGTCCTGACACTGAATTTTCTCATTGCTGTGGAATACTGCAAAATTATTTTTAGCATACAATTCATCAGGTCCTCAAGATTTATTTTATGCATCCAATTTGTATAATATTTTCAGTTGGTTTGTGTGGCCTATCTGGAGAAGGATCATACCTCAATAACTTTTGTTATTAGATTAAATGATTGATGGATTAGATGTAATAAAGCAGGTAAATCTTTAATTTGATTCCAGGAAGATGATGCTGTTTGAAGTGACAATTTGTGTAGCACTGGAAAATGAGCAATTTGTTGAAAGGGTCCTGGAGCAAATATAAATTGTGTCCAACAGAATTCTCCAATTTGGTAGACTGTATTAACTGTCTGAAAATAATTTCAGTACTATTGTGTGATTGGCAAAAACTTACTTTCCCAGTGCAAAACACTCCAGCCTCACAGTTGTTCCTTTGGCAGATGGCACCGTTTCTGGGAACTGCACTTCGATTTTTGGCTCATATTCACCCATCACTCCTGTGAATACAAAATAGATGCTACAATGGGCTGATTTCTGCATTTCATATTCTCAAGTATTCCAGAGTTAACTGGGAATATTTGATGTATCATTACATAACAGTTTATCTGTTAACTTCAAAGAAGACCTAACAGCCACTCAATGAGGGCTTCCTCTCCCAAAATTGGCCTGTAGCTCTTAGCAATCTGCCTAAGATTAGAATATACATACATACATACTAAATACATACATACATACATACATACATACTAAATCCCCCCGCTGCAACGAGAACCAGTGCTGCCAAGAGAGGGCGGAACATAGCTCTAACAATACCCCCTGAGATCGACGGAGATGTGAACACAAGTGCTCGAGAGAACGACAGAAGAAATCTTTACTCCGATTCCCCCTCCCACCTATCAGCTGTTCAGCAGGGAATACTGGCACAGTCTAGGAACCAAGCGCAGACGTCTATGGAACCCGTTTGAACCATCTTGTTAGAAACGGTCTCTCAGCCCTGAAGATGTTGGGGAGTTTTCCCAACGAAAGCTTGGCAACCTTTTAATATAGTAAAATACTTTAATTAAAGTATTTTAACTTTAAACTCTCCTGGTGAACGCGCTTTATTCATTCCATTTATAATTATGCCCGGGAGTCGCATTTTCACCATCATTATTGAATACATACATACATATATACATACATTAAAAATAACAAATGTAAAAATAACAAATGAATTTGAACACCAGGATAAGGTTATAAACAAAACTGTTTAATATACAAGAATACTTAGCTTTTGTTGTCAGAACTCCCAAATCCTTGTTTTTATATTCTTGATGATATACTCAGTTTGGCCGACGAAAACTAAGTACTCTTGTATATTAAACAGTTTTGTTTATAACCTTATCCTAATGTTCAAATTCATTTGTTATTTTTACATTTGTTATTTTTACTGTATGACTATACCCAGGATTCGCATTTTTAATATAATTATAATTAGGTATATATATATATATATATATATATATATATATATATATATATATATATATAGGTCTTTGGTTGTTCGGGTTTTCTCCCGCATAAAATTGAAAGTGTCTTGGCAACGTTTCGACGAAGACACTTCCAATTTTACGCGGGAGAAAACCCGAACAACCAAAGACCTACATACAAATACCCGCGAAAACCTCAGAAAACATATACATACATACATACATACATACATACATACATACATACATACATATATATATATATATATATATATATATATATATATATATATATATTCTATGAACAGCAAAGTGCTAATAAAGTATAATCAGTGCCTTTTGTAGACCTAATGAAAAATTGTAGGCCATCAGAGATTCAAATAATACCAGGACAAATTGTCTTTGATGGCATTATACAGGTTTTATTGCCTTTGTAAATCACTTACCATACTTTCAAATAAATAAAATAAATCTAAATATTGGTTTACATTAAGAAGTCATGTTTATACCCAGTCAACATATAAACTGAACCGATTTCACTAGAGGTTAATGTGATTTCCTGGAGAATAAACTCATGAGCATTACATTATAACTTTTTTTTAGAGGGTATCCTTTGTACTTATTTTTTGTCTACCTACAGGAATGAATGCAAGATTTAATATAATAGGAAAACTGCAATTATGAGGCATTGAATATGGGATTAAAATTCAAAAGTATCATTTTTCCAAAATACAGTTTGCAGACAGCTGGAATCCCTGCATCTTTGATTCTGAGCCATTATGACTGCTATGGAGGATGCTCCCCTGTTGCCTGGCTTATACTCTAAAGTGATCTGTTGATGTTTTATCCATGGAAGCAAATAACAGCAGCTGCCTCCTGCATGGAATGTTAACCCTAGAACTCTGCAGAATGTAAAGCTACTTCTGCTGAGGGAGGGAACCAGCAATACAGCTAAAAACAAGGCTGAATTTGAATAAAGAAAAATAATCACTTTAAGCAGAGCATTTTTGTTTGTTTGTTCAAAAATTGGTGTGCCACACAGAGTTACAGAAAGTAATCTGAAGAGTGACAAACTATAAAATAAATGTTAAGTAAAGATCATATGAAGTGTAAGTCTATCTATATTTAGTGCTATTTTTATTGCAATAAACGTATTGCCTGTTATTTATTTATTTATTGAATGTGTATTTATTAGAAATTAATTCACCTAACTGTGACTCAAATAGATGTACATCAAGTGAATGATAACATAGAATTACACCAAGTAAGCTATAACTTCCACTAACATATTCAGAAATGATCATTTTCATATTTTCCAGTTTGGGGAGAGTCATATTATTTATTTATTTATTTATTAAACAATCAAATGTATATAGCCACTCATCTCTCCTTATAGTGGATAAAGCAGAAAATATAAAAACAGCAAATGCAAATATAAAAACTATAATAATAAACATTCTAAAAACCCAAAATACCAAACCCTAAGTGAAGAAAAAAATATTGAAAAGGCATCTTTAATAATAGATCCATCTAGATCAGGGGTGTCAAACTTGCAACATCACGTGATATGTCATGACATATCGTGACTTTTTTGCCTTTGCCGGCAATGGGGTGGGGGCACTTTTGTTACAATGCATCCAGCCTACAGGCCAGCACTGCTGATTTAGATAAATCTCTGGTTATGTGGAAGCCTCAGGCCTGATCACATATCCATGTTTGAGAAGCTTTCAGAATTTCAAAACATCGAAATTTAACTGGTTTATTCCCCAAAGTTGAAGGATCTGCTTTGGGAATCAATACATATTAGGCAAGGCAAATATAACATCAAATATGTTACCATTTTATGATTAAAGTGTATATATAAAACTGCTTAATGTAAATGTGAAAAAAAAATACTGGATATAACCACACAGAAGCTGGCTCAGTGAATGTTCCCTGTTCATAGTTCTTTGTAAGAGATGATCTGATGCTTAAAACATTATAGATGTTTATCTCTCACACAGAGATTCACATTGATCAAATGGCTTTTGAAGAAGAATAAAACAAGGAATCCTGCTGTTGCTCAGCTGTTTTGAAATGAAATTGTCTTCATGTGACTGGCCCTCACATGTTTGTCTTTATCTGTTTTATCCACTTTCATGGGTAGGCTCATTCTTATCCTGTCATTATTTAATGTTTAAGCTACGGATAGCAACTTATGATAACAATGCTGATTTCTTGACTATTGCTATAATGTTTTTGCATAACATTCTAAAGACTGTTTCATTTTACTCTCTCTGTATAACTATACCTTATCTTACACACTTCATACACACTGCCAGTATCTTACTGGCAAAGATACTGTATAGTGCTATAGTCAGACAGATTGCCTTGTTCCTCACTAACTGCTTTTGCTTACCCATGAGTTTGTCAGCACTATTCCAGGGCCTGATTTTGGCTCAGTGTGACTGCTTACTCCAGTTTCTCAAAAGATCCTGGCAGGTGGTCCTGTTGTTGATCTTCTACTCAATTCTATCCCATCTACTTGTTTATCTTTTGTGCAGCCTTGAGACCTTGCTTTTTTTATTCATCCTATTAACTTGTCATAGTTTAGTTTCAATATCTTCTCATCTTTGGCTGGGCTTACTTCAGCCATGTCAACAGGTTGTACAATGGCTGCACATAGTTTAATGCCATAGATGGCGTTAGCTGCCATAATGTACAAAAGATGTAGCTGAAGCTGTCTACATTCACACCACCAGAAAATCCTGATCTGGATGAAACACTGGAGTCACAAAACTACAGTTAAAGTTTTGGTTCTTCTTTCAGCACAAATGGGAAACCAAACAGGCCTGCTATTTCAGGCTGCCCAGGACATCAAAAAAGAGACTTTGCCAACAAGTGAAAAGTAATGAAACTACTTCAATTGAAGGAAATGGATGATCACTTGTGAGCTATTTTTAAAGCTATGGTTCCCCCGTTGCCACTGTTACTCTTTCTGTGCACTCTGATTACTCCCAGCACTTACAGGCTAATTGAGGACTGGCTGAAAGTATACTTAGAATAGATTGTAGAAGACAAGCCTAAATTTGAAGACAATTCTTACTATGGAAAGACCGGAGCAAAGACTATTTTCTGACAAATGCTATGTCATACCGACTGCCTTTTATCTAGCACTTGGACAATTAGATAAACACCATCTCAGCAGAGAAGCCACAAACTGCTCTTATATTGATCCAGGAATTGTCTAAACAATAAGTCTACTTTTATCATTGCCTGGCCATGTCCAGTTTTGATCCATTTTAGTTCCCCATGGAGAAAATGCTTCCTGATATTGTAAAAGCTTGACCAATGGGTTAAGGAAATTTTTTTTTTGAATATGCCATATAATGAAAAGAAACAAGGTGGTCTACGTCCACCTGAAAAATAAATATTGTTTTTTAAAAAGTGCAAAAATCCAGGAAAAGTTATACTTTCTAGGGCTCCCGAGAAGCCCCTAGGAAGCAGAATTAAAAATAAAATGCAGATATGAAATACTATTTATAGATAAATAGATATACTATATTTATAGATTTGCACAGTCATTGAAGGAGAGAGATGGAAACAGGGACAACTACTCAAGAGCAGTACAATATTACAATTTTAATAACTTTTTGGCTATCAAGTCATACTTCCATGGAGAAATCTAAGTATTCCAAATACCTACAGTTTTAATGGACACAAAATCCAATTAAGTTATATAATTGGGAAGAGGCAGGTTGCATAGTTATAATCATCAACACCAATCTGCCAGAATCCTCTCTCACTTGTGCAGTAGACAATATGAAGATGCCTCAAGTAATCTGAATGGGACAGAACAATCTTCACCAGAAATAATTTTATAGGACTCTGTTTTCTCCTTTTAACCAGGATTATCAGATCCATATTTAGTGTTAGATTACAAAGTCAACGCTAATTAAGAAAGAAGTTTTTTTTTAAAAAAACAAAGGCATTGATAAAAGCTTTCTATTATTCATCTAATTGCTGAATATTATAAAAAAGTATTCAATTATTTGAATTGTTGGAATGGAGGATAGAGAGTTAAGACGGAGTGTTTTCCCAAAGATAATATTTTTGCCAATAATGTTTTTATATTTTTGTTATTCATCTTGCTTATACTTGCTTATAAGGAGTGTTAAATACTGTAATAGGTCTAGCACCAACATTTTAGATTATATAGTTCTTATTTATGTAATCAGGACATAACAAATTAGATGAATTTGCCACTTAATCTATTAATGTAACAACAATATACTCCAATGAAACTAATTCCTCTTATATATTGAAATATACTGGCCATGAAATTGTCAGGGTTTTTTTTTTAAAAAAGGGATCCAGATACAACTGTCATTTTTGTTTGCATTCATTGCCCTTTAATTTACTTTTTTGCATCCTGAAAGAGTATTCCTTTATATTACCTGCCTTAACATATGAATATTGATGAATGAATTGCATTTAAACAGCTGAATTATAGGAAATGTAAAACAGGAAAATGAAGACAATAAATAGCAGGGCTATTTCATGATGCCTAATTTTAACATACAAATTTACTATATCCTCAAGTATTCTAATACTTCAAGCCCCAAATCTTATCACATTTCACTTAATGTTCCTACTAGAGATCATTCAGATTGCTACTATTCAAGTCAATGGACTGCCACCTGGTTTTTATGGCCCATGAGCTTAGAATGGGGGTCTAGGTGGGAATTTGCCAAGTCCAAATTTCACCTAAGCTCTCAGGGTGAGTGAAGGCAGAGGGACGGAACATTCTGGGTGGTAGCAGCAGCATATCAATGGCCTCCTTAATAATGGGCTGGTGCCATCCAATGCCTGCCATACTTCTTGCCCTGCAGATCTGTCAGCCAGGCCACAAAGCAGAGAAGGCGTGGGATCTGATCCTTTATAGCAGGGATCCTCAACCTTGGCAACTTTAAGACTTGTGGACTTCAACTCCCAGAATTCTGGCTGAGGAATTCTGGGAGTTGAAGTCCACAAGTCTTAAAGTTGCCAAGGCTGACGACCCCTGCTTTACAGAATTATTTGATCTAGATGACAGAGACTAGATTGCTAATTTTCTTGCTAGTTTATATCTACAGAAGTCCTGTAATATTCAGTTTATTATCTAAGAAAGCATACCAAGCATAAGCATATTCAAATATTTAAAATGAATGATAATCTGAACTCTTGTTCAGGGCCAAATCTTGATAATTACTTTTCATTGTAGTTGTATAAAACATAGGTTTTTAGTATTATCCTTTAGAATTTTAGAATATTAATATTATTGTTATCCTTTAGAATTTAGAATTTCTTATGAATCTTATTACAATGTAATAAAAGTCTTACCATCATTTCTCAGGATTAAAGGCGTTGGAGGCCCTTGCGCTCTGGTATTGGTTACAGAGTTTGTCACGACACACGTATAATTTCCCACATCAGATTTCTCTACTTTAGCTATGTATAAGTTCCCAGTTTCTTGAGAAACAAAGCGGCGATTATCCTGGTGCACAAAAGTTGGATATTCATTGAAAATCCAGGCATAGATCAATTCTGAAAATAAAGCAATAATAACTATTAATAATACTGTAGAGTATACTATACTGGAAAGCAGAAGACTAGGTCATCGAAGGGGCAAACATTGATTCTCTCTCTGTAGATGTGCACACAGACTTTCCAAATTGTAAACTTAAGAAAGAGCATTGCATTTGTATTAATTTGAAGCCATTCTGATTTTCAGAGACCAACTCTGCTATTTAGGCTAACAAGGTAAAAATGTGCTTCTATACAACCCTGGGGAAATCATTCAGCAAAATAAGCACATACTTAGAGCAACAATATAAGGGGGCATCCCAGATGGTTCCTCCTCCCCAGTTATCATGCTCTTAACTCTTTCACTTCCATGCTCAATTTTAGATGACTTCTTTGGGATTGTCCTAATCTGCTGTGTTAAAATTTAATCTGCATTAAAACAAATCTCTGTCATGATGAGTGACTCCAGTTTAAACATTTGGTTTCAAAGTGTCATCATTTGTTTTCATCTCGTAGTGTGAGAGTTTTGCTTCCATTGAGGGCACTATTGTTTGTATTTAGGACATAAACTGGCTGTCAAGGATGAAAGCAGCTACGTGGCTTTGTGTTTTAACTTGCTTTTAGATTAAGGGGGAAGGTGTTACTTTCAGGTGGGTAAGGTGGAGAAACAAAACTTCTTTGATTCAGATAAAGACCATGAGAGCCTGAAGCCTTGTCAAGGATATCAGGACAGGTGTGGATGTGAAGCAGACAGTTCCCATAACAAAGTGAACTTGTTGATATGGATTACGTAAGACATTGGGGGTTTGGCTGGAAAAATTATTGTTTAAATCTATGAATTGGTGTTGGAACCTTAGAGTTAGTTTTATTTTGACATAACCATGTAGTGTATTCAATAAACAGTAAGCTTTTTGGAAATGGAAAGAATCTGGAGATTTATTTGGATGTTTGAGCTGGATGTTGATACTGGCCTTAATCTGACCCTAGAAAGGAAAATAGAAGGGAAATAAAAGAATCCTTGTGTGGAGAACTCTAAAACCTGGGCAATACTTCAATGTCACATTCCAATGCTTTCTTTTTTTGGACAACAGACAACAGGAACTCTGGATTGCTAGCTATCTAATGTATAACATTAGAAATGATGACCAGTGCATGGTTGCAGAAAGTAAACAGAGCCACAAGTTCCCTTAAACTAGCTATCTGGAAATGTTTACCAGCTAGGCAGTTTATATATTCCAGTAGAATAGAGTATATAATATGTAGCTCAAGATTGAACTGGCAAGTCCTTGTTGGTGCTCTCTGAGCTTGGCTGTTTACTTGCAGACATTTCATTACCCAACTAGATAACATCATCAGTGTGAGTGAGTGTGGGATTTGCTCCATTTATATACAATAACTTGCCAGGAACTACTAAGAAGAAAACCACACCGGCACCCATCTGGCAGGACAAGCTATTGTAAATAAACAACGAGCAAACCTCATATTCAGTGATGATATTACCTAGTTGGGTAATAAAGTATTTGCAAGCAAACAACCAGGTTCAGAGAACACTGAGGATTCCACTCTATATTGGAAACCTGTGGCATTTAAATATAAAAAGTTTCCCATTAAAAATCTTTTAACTCTCCAACTGATTGCATCTCATCATGCTGGATTTAAGAACAAATCATATATATTTCTTTTTTCTTTGATTTGCCTAATCATTTTCTTCTACAGTCATGACTTCACATACCCTGAAGATTAGAGAGGAGAAAAATGTATATTAAATGAAATATTCAAGGGCATTATGACTAATTCAACAATATTCCCAATTTATACTTTATCTTTGGAAATTATGCAACAACAGGGACATACTTTGCAAGCAACTTCCAGCACTTAGGTTTCACTATAATCTTGTTATATTAATACAAGACTATTACCCTAAACATATTAAGAAGACTATTAAAAGAATTAGAGAACCATCTGTGCAGCTTTATAGGAGTATTTTAATTCATTTTAATGAGTCATCATTGTAATTGACCTCCACTATTGTAATACTTTTTAAGATACAGGGCTCAATCCAGCAAACAGATTTCCTTCATAACAATAATTATTTCACTTTCAGATTATATGCACACATTGTATTGAAATGTTCACTAACAAAAGCATGAGAATGTTGTACTTTAATAATCACTCCCCAATGGAAACCATATTTACTGGCTTTTTAAAAGATACAATAATTATGTTTATGTGGCTTATCTAATCATTGTATTTGCACATAGGCATCTAATTATAAGCAACCCTATGCTATTGTCATGTGGATGTTTCTAATGAACAAGGTAGCATTTCTCAGCAGGTACAACACATTCCAGGGAAAAAAACCTATGTCCCTAAACCATTCATTTTTACTTTAATTTACAGTTGCTGAACAAATTAATTTGCTTTTCTCTAAATGAAGATAACTATTTGCAGTCACTGTACCTCAGACCGAGTACAAGTGATTTCTTGTAGTTGCTGTTGTTTTCCTTCCCGCATTCTCCAGGGATCATAAAGAATTTTAAACAATTCTCACACTGTGAATTAACAGATGCCACTTATGTGCATGGATCATAAGGAAGCTTGTCAGAAAACAGTGACAATGTCGATTGATCTAATCTCTCCCATGAAACTTGGCAAAGCAGGGAGTGATTTTCACTCATGGATGGCATTTTCAGACTCACGTGGTTCTGTGCCAAAAGGCATTTAAAGTTGATGATCCAAAAATGCCAAGAGGAGATCTATAATTCCAAGCGCCTTGCAGTTAAATGGAATTTTGTTGTTGTTTTCTTTTGATCCTGTGAGACAGGTTGGGCTGAGAGAGAGTGGCTGGCCCATAGTTCCCCAATGAACCTTTGTGAATGAGGAGGGACTGGAATCTGGATACCTCTGCTCCTAGTTCAGCTCTTTGACAACTGCATCATCGAATGGTAGATAACAGACAGACAATAAAAGTAGCTTGTTTGTGATTGTCTGGAAGTTGGGTCATGGCACCTGGACTTCTTTTTTTATTTGATATGCTTTGCTACTTATCCAAGTAGCTTTTTCAGCAGACCCCATAAATGTCCTCCAGGGAGATTTCATTTGTCTGAATAGGTCCTTAGGTGAGTAGGCAGAGAGTCGTTAAGGGTCATTGCTCCTAAATCCTTCTCTCAGGTGGGTTGTTAAGTGTGACCTTATTGGTGAACCCATGAAGTGATCCTGATCTTCCTGGGGACTGATGCAAGAGCAGCATAAAAAAATGGGGGACCGGTTGTGTCTGAGGCCTCCACTTCTATTGAAGGAAGGATTTTCCATTTTAGCATAAATGGATTCTCTTGCTCTTCTCTCAAATCATCTATCTTTCCTGTCCAAAATGTGAACATTATTGTCCTCAAAATAATGTCCTTTTTCTTTTAAATGAAGGTATACTGCTGATTCTGCTTGCAGACTCCGTAAACATCATGAATCACCTCAAAACACTGCAATTTTGTCCCCCTGTTTAGTGGGCGATGGCACAGAATCTTCTATAAAGATTCTATGAAGATTGATTGAGAAAGTGAGCATGCAATATACATTTTCAAAGCCAAACCCCTAAGATTCTTTTTTCACAAATCCAAATTAAATAGTGTGCTAATACCGATGTTCAAAATAGTTTTCTTTTTCTTTGAACAAATATCTGTGCCTGAACTGTAGCAAATAAGATGATCTAGGCGATTTATTCAGAAGACATATTAGAGAAATGTTATTGATTTGTTTTCTTGCTGGAATATCTTTTATCCCCAAAATCTGAAGGAGGCAACTTCCCATTCCCAATGGGTAACCTCATCATGAGAGGCTCAAGAAGGAAGGGCATTGCCTGATACAGACAATGAAGTAAACGTTATCAGAAGGATTGATTCTTGCTTTGCTCTGACATTACTTGACCAATGAACATAGAATCCCTGATTTGCCTTAGTCCCTTGTGTCTTCCTTGCAGGTATGTAACAAGATGCTAGCTAACCACCATTAGCTACAATACCTAAGAACAGAAAGAAACAAAGAACTGACCACAGACAATTGCTAAGAAAAATGTTTGTGCAGGTAAAAAAAGATTACTTTTAAATAAGCTATGCAAAAGTAAAGAATTGGTGAGAGGATGGATTGACAGATAACATATGGTGTTGCATCCTAAATTTTAGAAAGGATAAATTAATTAATCTGTCTGTCTGTCTGTCTGTCTGTCTGTCTGTCTGTCTGTCTGTCTGTCTGTCTGTCTGTCTATCTATCTATCTATCTATCTATCTATCTATCTATCCATCTATCTATTAAATTTATATTGCCGCTTACTCACACATGGTGACTCAAGGTGGCTGACAGGATATAAAAACATAATATAAAATAAATAAAAATAATAAAATAATAACCCCTTATCCTGGCGACAACACACATTCATACCAGCCACTTAATAGCCTCCATTCCCAAGCCTGATGGCCAAACCACGTCTTCAGGGCCTTGAGAAAGAGTGTTACAGTGGGGGTCAGTCTAATTTCCAGAGGGATGATGTTACAAAGGGAGGGAGCCACCTTCTTCTTGGTTCCACCAGATGTATCTCTTTAGGGATGGGACCTGCAACATTCCTTGCCTCCCTGCTCTTGTGGGTTGGGAAGATGTGACCTCAGATAACTTGGTCCCAAGCCCTGAAGGGCTTTAAAGGTGTCAACCAGCACCTTGAATTGTACCTGGAAGCAAACTGGTACCCAATGCAGATCCCACAGGAGATGTGATACATGTGCACATCAAAGTCTGCACAAAACCAAATGGGCCATTGCATTTTGCACCAACTGGAGCTTCCAGATGCTTTTTAAGGGCTGCCCCATGTACAGCACATTGCAATACTCAAGACGGGAAGTGGCTAGGGCATAAGTGACCACGAGTAGGGATAACAAGGCAAGAACCTGCCCCAGCGTCCTCCACTGGACCAGCAACCATGGCGGAATCTAACTGGGAATGAAGTTGAACATTTTTGTCTTCCAGAAATGAATTCA